TACAATAACTTACAATACATTTTTTTATCTGAGTTCAGAGCATTAGTAATGATTTTCAAAGCACTAAATGGGTTTGGAACCTCAATTCTGATTGAGTATCTCATCTTGTCTAACTCCTTTTTATGACCCTGACCTTAAACCTTATAATCTGCTGAGGCTCAGAATAATATGTGAAGGTACTTGAGAGAGAATATGAGTGAGCATTCTCAAATGGTGGGTTTGAGAAACTCAGTTGAGTTTGCTTCCAGGATTAATGTCTAAAACCAGCCTGATCCAGGGGGACAGACTTGGTTAGCCCCTCCAACTAGTAAAAAGCATTAGAGCGCCATATTCCATATTCCCTTAGACTCCAGCAATGGAGTTCAAAATGACAACTGGTCTTTTTTCAGCTACTCTTTCTCTTCAGCTATTTTTCTTTGAGACTTTTGAGTAGAAAAAAAGGCTCAGATGTCTCAGTATAGCTGATTATGAAAAGCCGGTTTACCAATATACAAGATTGGATCATCTAAACTTTAATAGCCTTTTAAATGAATTTTAATTGTTGTACATTAAATGTTTTTCACTGTCTCACTTCATTGTTGATTTTTTAATCAAACTGTTTCTGTCAAAGATTGTTTCATTCCAGCATTTTTGCATACTTCTGAGGAAGAACAATACACAAATATTATCAGTTCTATTACTAGTAATAGTAGCAATAGTAGTAGTAGTAACAGCAGCAGCAACAATATATGTGGTGGGAGTATGCCCATAACTCTAAGAAAATGCTGACAAAGCTGCCATGTTTCAAAATACTATTATTTTCTTCTGAGCTTTGCTTTTGCTGTAAATAGAATCCTAATTAAGCTGCACTAACATCTTGGCCATTGACTTTCTTGGATCATAGAAATGTCTAGTGAATTGTTATTTATATGCAAGAGGTATTCCTAGTTTACTGAGGCAGAAATAAATCAGGCAGATAATCTATCTATGGTAGAGTCAAGAAAAATCTAATTTCTATATTACAGTCAAAATGTATGCAAGGAAATCAAAATATTTAAAATTACTATTATTGACATTGATTTAGTTGAATGAATAGATTCATTTAGACATATGCAATGAAAAAAAAATCATATGGAAAGTAATGACTAAAAACCAAGAAAATTCCTGACTTGGAAAAAGCTGACACCAAATTGGTCTAAAGCCTTAATAAAAGTATTTGGGATTTTTGAGATGCACTGATCAATGTCAGTCATGGAAGCATTGATTAACTTGTTTTAATTATTTATCCATCTATTTGATAAATATTATATTCTACTACTATTTTTTAAAGATAGTTATGTAACATTTGCCACGGCCTTGTGAATTATTATCACATACCAATATAAATGAAATCCTGGCATTTAGCCAATCTATCTATATACTAGTTTATATTGGTATGTACCTGAAGCTAGCGCAAACAGTGTATTATACCTTTTTGAATGACCCACAATCTTAAAGAATATTAAAGAACTTAAAGAATGTGTAAAATATCTGGGACCCATTAGTTCTGTGGAGCTCAAATTTCCACAAAGTTCACACCAGTTTTATTTACAAAGTTGAAGCTGTTGCAGCGTCTCCATGGTCACTTGATTATAATTTCCAATGCTCCCTGCAAGCAAAGTCAATGGGAAAGCCAGAAGGAAATTGGAAGTCACTTTGGCTCCCACTGTTTGGTCCATCCATGATCTTTACCTGTTTGCGTAAGTAAATATTGACCTATTATTGAAGCTTGTTTGCCATTACAATTATTTTTCTGTTTATGATATATATACTTCTTAGACGATTATGGGAGTGTCAAGCATTGGGGTAAAAAAGCCCCATGGTCAGCATAAAATTTTGTGTTCATTCTGCTCACATCATATTGCAGTACCTTTCTCTCAAAGGGTGACCAACAGGTCACAAGGTTGTCTAAAATTAATTAATCACAAGGTTATTTATTTGAGGGGATTTACATATACAGTATACACAAGCAAGAAAAATAAAGAGAGAACTGGACTTTGTAAAAGAAGTTCCAGGCTATCTTATTATTGATGCTTTGTCATAACATCTATTTCTTGCTAATCATTACTCTTTTAAGACAAGAATTAATTATGTTCAGTTTTGTACTTTGCCAAGCTCATAATAAAACCACTGTGTTTAATGAACAATCCAATCATTTTAAAAAAATAACCTTTAAAATGTAAAGATTTCAAGTTTAAATGATGGATCATATGCCTCTGCAATTCAAGTAATTACCAGCTATAAGAAGTATTCTGTTCTGGGAATCCATTTCTCAGAAATATGGGCTACATAACTCTGTAAAAAGTTAAGAAATTTGTAAATTGATTATTTACAACATTAATCTGTTGTTGTTTTTTTGCTAGAGTGCTTATTAGACTTTCCTGCTGGTAGATATATAGCCAAATATACCATAATTATAACAGATCAGATTTGATATCTAAGAAAGGATTGAAATATTCCTCCAAAAGTACATTTTTTTCCTTGTTCATTTCTTCCCATCTCCCCCAGAGCAACTTTCTCCCCTTCCTGTGCATGTTCTCATTATTCAGATTTGATTTAGTGATGCCCAAGGCCTCTTTCCTAGCCCGCTCTATTATTTAGGCAATTCTTTTCATACTTAGAATATAAAATGGAACTATTTATAACATTTTCCTGTCAAATTTTCAATAAATAAGATTAGAAGCAGCACAGAAATACAAACTCTTTGGCAAGCAAGGAAAAATTAGTCTACTAGAAAGTGATGGCAAGGGAAAAATTCAATAGCTGTGTAGGGCAGAATAAATATTATACACAAATGAATGTAATAAACCCTAGCATCTTTATTTTGTTGCTACTCATGTAGGGAAAATTTAGAGATGAGAAATGCCAGGAGCATGCTCAGTCTTTTCCTTCTCAACTTCTGGTCACACATGCCTTTTTGGAATAAACATACTGTAGAACAACAGTCCCCAACTTTTTTGGCACCAGGGACCAGTTTCACGGAAGACAACATGCAACTTAGATCCCTTGCATGCTCAGTTTACAGTAGGGTCCATACTTCTATGAGAATCTAAAGCCTGATGATGTGAGATGGACCTGAGGTGGTGATGCTAGCGCTGGGGAGTGGCTGCAAATACAGATGAAGCTTCACTTGCTTACCTGCTGCTCACCTCCAGCTGTGCGGTCCAGTTCCTAACAGGCCACGGATTGGTACCAGACCATGGCCTAAGGATTGGGGAGCCCTGCTGTAGAAAATTCATCCATAGCCTTTTAAATGTTAAAAAAATATTAGCCTCTGCATGCCACCAGAGACATCTATAGAACATATTTTTGGGGCCATTTGGGTCATGGCAAGGTAAGTGAACATTTTTAAAAGAATGTAAAATAGGTGTGCATGGTGCTTGGCGATCTGAGATAGAGGCATTAGATGCAATTCTCTTCCATCTTTCCATCAAAACAGTGAATGAAATATCATTTCAATGTTATAAAGCCAATCAGATTTGGCCATGTTGGGGGGGGGAGGATGAAGTTGTGCCTCTTCTGATGTTATTGGACTACAATTCTCATCAACTGGACTGCTGACCATACTGGATGAAGTTGACAGAATTCAATTCCAAAAATCTGGTTAATTATTCTTGGCCTAAGAAATGTTACTGAGTGTAAATGAAGTCATTTCAAAATGAGGACAAAGCTTTTCAAACATTTTTAATGAATAAAATGTGCATGTGTGTGCTTGCCTGTGTGAGTTTATCTTATTAGAAGCAGCAAATAGTTTTGTCTGAGCCTTAGAATCACACACAAGTATTTTGCAAACATCAGCTAAATATAAAGACACTTGTACCAAATGTTTATTTCCTTCATGTTTGAGTAAGTGTTGGAAATAATTAAAATCAAATTAAGCTATGAAATGTTTATAAAATAATCATATTTAGCTCTGAGACAATTCTATTAAGTTATCCCTCATGCTTTGAAGAGATGAATAAATGCCACAAGAATGAGATGTCATCCTATCGTTCTTTTAGCTCATTTTTAAATTTTAGAAATACATCATAAAAACATTCGTGATTTTAAATATGCCTCATTTTCTACAAATAAAATGCACATTAAATCCTAAATCTTTCATAAAAAAATCAATTGAGTTCAAGCCAACATATGGTAAAATATACTTTTAACACAAGTGAAATATATAAAATGTTTACTCACCCCTTTTTCCATTCATAAATCACAAGAACTTAGTTATTCATGGAAAGTGCCGATGATAACCAAAATATCCAGGCACAACAGAAAACCCTTTTTAAATTTCAGGGTAGGTCACATAAAGCATGTACCCCGATGAGATTATTTTTCTCCTTCTAAGATTAAATCTAAATTAGCAAGTTAGGGGCCAAATCAAATATTTATTTTAATAGTTTGGTTATTTATATTCTTTTAAAAAATTAAATTAAATAACAAGTGAAGAGCCTGCTGTTTTATTTGGTACCTTGTGTAAGCTGAGTGTAGGGTTATTCCCCAAAGAAAATTATATACCAGTAAACAGTACTAGAATGCTGAATAGTAATAATGGACATGTTTTCCCTCTAAATATTTTAGCCAAAGGGAACAGGATTTTCATCTGGATTATAGCTCAAATCCTAGAAATGAATGTGGGGCAGCTGTAAATATTGTTGAATATTACATTGTGACTGGCAAACTAAGGTCTAGAAAAAGATTCTATAGACTAGTGCATTATCTCTGAGAATATGAGCAGAATTTCCAAATTTGAACCGAAATATGATTATGGCTGCTTGATTTTTTTCCCCTTCCAACTCTACTGCTCGCAAGTAAGGATTGCAAGAAGACTCCTAATGAAATGAAGTAATATTCATTTTATTCATTATATTTATATGGTTGCCCATCTCATGAAAAACATGACTCTGGGTGGCATACAATAAAAACCATAAAACAATGATATAAAAAACAACGAACCCAAAGAATTAAACATATTATTCTATCAAGTTACTTACTTTATGTAGTTTATAGTATTGTTCCGCTCCAATACCCCCTTGCTCTTCTCCAGTCCAAAGCACCAAACGCAGAGTTCTTTTGGGCCGGAGTCCTGTTATTAGATAGAAAATAAACAAACTTCTCTCTCATATCAGCCTCTGAAAGCTTCTGTCCCATTTTTAGCATCCTAAGAAGCCTGCCTTAGTGTATTAGGAGAAAAATAACATTTTGCCTATCATGGAAAGTAAAACATTGATTTTAAATGCATCTCCTCCCAACCTGTCTATTTTTTTCCTCTCTCTGCACTATTTCTGGAATCTCCACCCTGCCCCATCGCATTTTGGTTTACAACCAAGCTAATTTCTTTCTTTTTTCTTCCCTTATTTAAGCACACACACACACACACACAAACATCTTTTTACATTTCTTTCTATCTGCTTTCTTCTTTTTCCGCAGCCCACTTCCACACAGGATTTCTGCACTCCTAGCACTGTTATTCCATTCTCATTTTTTTCTCCCCATCATTGCTCTACATCAGTGATGGCGAACCTTTTAGAGACTGAGTGCCCAAAACCCGGGCCCACTGCCTGCCCACATGCCACCGGCCCCACCCCCGCCCACCCACAGGACCACTCACCGCCTCCATGGCCCGCCACAGATTGCCCAGGGAGCTTAGCAGTGCCATGGCGGCCACACTGTCCACCCATGCCCCACAGTATCAGCTGTGCACAAACAGGCACGAGGGCGGAGTCTTGTCCCCACTGCCCGGCTGCCATGTCCTTGACTATGCTGCTTCGCGCGGGCTGCACTCGGGGGCGACTCTCCTCCAGGGGGGCTGCTGGTGAGGGGACCATGGGGGGAGGTGGGGCTGGAGTGACAGCATGCGTGCCCACAGAGAGGGCTCTGAGTGCCGCCTATGGCACCTGTGCCATAGGTTCGCCACCACTGCTCTACATCTTTCAGCATTTCTGAAATAATGATTTATGGCAACTCCCCATCATTGTACAGTAGTGTGATCCAATGGTCTGCAGGTGGTCTGCATTAAGGATTTATGTGAAGGCTGGGTGATACTAGAGTGGAAATCTTCCTTGCTTTCAGGCTTAAGCTACACACAAAGACAACCAACTTGTTAACAATGTGGGTCTGTTCCAATTGCGTAGAAATAATCTGTATGGGTTTAGGTTTTTAGCTGGAGAAAATGGTCTGGAGTGGAGGAAGAGTTAAATGACTCCAGGAAGGGTATGGTTTAGCACTCCTGCTGTTCCTGGTTCACAAACTGTGAACTAATCATAGGATCCCAAAACAAAGAAAGGCTTCCAGAGAAGTTCCCAAAGGCACCTGTTGCGCCCACCCCAGTGTCTGCTGTTTGCTGCCTCTATGGCAGCCAGCCAAAAAATTTTTTCCCCATCTGCTCCTGCACTGAGAGGAAAGGGTGTGTTTGTGGTGTTGCCTATCAATATCTCCCAGAATAAATTTTGCAAACTGTGGCAATGAAAGAACCTAGGAAATGCATTTGTTTGCATCCCCAATAGGTTTTTGTGTGACAAGCTGATAGTCCTGTTTCTTCCAATCTAGATTCACAAAAGAGAATCTATGATTTTTTTTGAAACTCAGTGTTGAGAAGTTTTAAAGCCTTCCTATAGAACTCTTTAGCTGCAAGTGACAAGGCAAGACCATCTGTGTTTTAATGATATTTATGAAGGAATAACCTTAAAATTAAATATAAGCCATTTGAAAGTCACCCAATACATTTAAGTCAATCTATATTAGATACAGCCCAAGTGAGGCATGTACTAAATTCTTTTACCCTTTCAATAGTTACTGTGCATGAAGAAAAAATTACTTGAGATGAGAAACACAAGTAAAATGAATCCATCTTTCATACAAAGCAATAACTGGGTTTGCACTGTGCATTATGTTATGGTTTCCTTAAGTATAGCTTTTAACATAAAGTAACCAAAACATACAAATTCTAGAGATGTTTGATAAACCAACATGAACTCTCACAATCCAAAATCAGTTATGGACAAGTATATTGAGTGGACCTTGTCGGGTAGTACAAATAAGAAGCAAATTCTTCTCTGGATAGAAAAAAAAAGTATTGACTGAGCATGACTTTTCAACATCCATGCAATTCTCCCTTTTGTTTGCCGGGATTGAAACAGAGGTATGAGATGCACATATGACATGTTAACTATATATCAATATTAGACAAAGAAGATTAATAAATGGAATTAGTCCAGCTTTTTTGAAGTTCTTACTTTGTTTCATTACAGATCCATGAGTTGATTTATTTTAAATCCATTTAAAAGAGTTGAAGTAGAATATAGCTAGGATGCATATGACATGTTTCATGAGGATTACTTATTTACTTTTGGTAGTTTCTCCTGTCATTTCCATTTGGACGTGGTGTTGATGGTAAAAGAAGTGATCTGATTTCACAAGACATAAGAAATTCCTTGAATGCCGCTAGTATTTAACAGTCTGAGTGGAAATGTATTTGACACCTTTTAAAGACCACATCATGGCAATACTCCAGTCTATCTATAACTTGCTTGCAGAAAATAAAAGCCCAGTAGCTACAGTACATATTTACAGACATATTTTATTACTGCCTTTGCCTCATGTGTCAGATACAAGAATAAGATACAAATCTATGCAAGGAATGCAAATAAATAAATAAATAAATAAATAAATAAATAAATGTTTTCCCACAATACTCAGAATCCAAAATATTACTGTGATAATTCATTGGATCAATTGAAATACTCTAGCCAAGTCCTCTCTTTCTAACAATTTAATCCAACTTTCTAAATTTACAGTGTAAAGTACAATGTTGTATTTACCAGAAAGGAAGGCAACCATTTCTCAAGACTTAGCTAGGAAGAAGAGAGGGAGGAGTTATTTTGGGAGGCACTAGTCAAAAGGATCATTATTCAAATCAATTATTATCATGGAGGAAGAAGCTATTAGATTTAGTTTTTTTTTAAAAAATGATAGAAGATGTCAGTGACAGGCTGGATCAAATTGGTCAGGTAGACACTCTTGGAAAAAGGTGGTCCCTCAAGGAATCCAATCCCAAGGCATGTAGCGCTTATGGTGACAACCACCCCCGTGAAGTGCACTTGGAAACATGCCAGCAACCAGTGTGGCTCACATATACCATGTATCTGGTACCATTTACTACCCATGCAGCTGCATTTTGCACCAGTTGAAGTTTCTGAATGCTCTTCAAGGGCAGCCACATCTTCAAGATGTGTTTATTAAATAAATGAATAAAAAATTGAATAAATAAAATTCCTGCAAGCTCAAGGCATTTGATTAAATACATTCTAGTTATAATTTCAAAGATAAATCTGAGAAACAAAATGACATATAAAGGGAAAAGAGAGATATAAAGGGAAAAGAGATACGCCAAGAGACAAGCTCAAGATTTTTAGTTCTGGACATACTCCCTTTAGAAAAGTAATCAGTCAATTAAAGATTAATAGACAGGAATAGACATAAGCCTGGAAAAGGTTAGAAGTACACTTGAGAGTAATTGGTGCTGAGGCAATAGCTGTGCTCTTTGAGAGGAAAAATAACAATATGTGAAGGTGCTGTGGAGAAGGTTTCTAAGACAAAGATGTCAACAGAGAAGATAAGATTAAACTTTTGAACTCTCAGCTTGACAAAGATTATTGCAAACTAAAAAAGGAAAATGAAGAAAAAGATGCCTTCAGGTTTAGTTTGACTCCTGGTGATGGTTAAGAATTTCTACTCTGTAGTCCTCCAAGTGGATTTGATTTTGACACCCTAGCTATCATGTTGTTTCAGTGATGCCCTGTCCAAATCATATAAATCCTGGCAATTGAAACCTAATACTAAATTGGGAAGAAGTAAACATTACTTCTGTTTAGATAACTCCTCAAAGTTGATAAAAATGCTTGAGAGATGATAGGCTCTTATACCGTTTTCAAATATACAACTGCTTTCCTTATGACAAATGTGTTGGCCTGTTTAGTACCCTTACTTGCCCTCACATTATCAAACCTGGAGACTCAGGATTATCTTGTCATTCAACACTATACTATACAAAACTCCATTTGCTGCCATCTAGTGATGATCAGGATTGTTGCAGCCTAGATATGGTAGCCTTACCCCATATAATTAATCTTCTTGAAGGCGAAGAGGACAAGGGGCAAGGAGTGTTTTTATTTTGTTTTGTTTTTGACTCTCTTCCCTGATCCTTTGAATCAGGTTTGTTCATCCTCCTGATCGGTTAGCAACACTGATTCTGATGGTTTTGAGATTTCTTCCTGCCTCTACCCCAAATATGAACTAAAATTCTTCAAAGTTGAATTCTATCAAACCATATTTCCTTCAATCTTATTCCTGTCTACTCTGACTGGAAGCAATTTTTGAGGTATCAGGCGAAGATGTATCCCAGTGATGGCGAACCTTTTAGAGTGCCCAAAAACTGCCCCCGCCCACCCACAGGGCCACCCACCGCCTCCATGGCCCACCGCAGATCGCCATGGCGGCCCAGCAGCACCATGGTGGCCATGCCCTCTGCCCACACCCCGCATCATCTGCGCGCGATGGGGCTTAAGGGCAGAGCCTTTCTCTAAAAGTTTCTAACAGTGAACGTACAGGTGACCCAAGTCTAAGAAATTGACCACCAATATTTTACATAAGTTCTTTCCCATAAAAATGCTCAATTTTACTCTTCTTTCTTCTCAGCCGAAGATCCATACACATACTATAAGGCTGTCTTGAGCAGAAAAAAACATCATGTTTCCTTTATCTTTATTTTGACAATAACATAACACTTTTTTAACCTTTAAACTAGACTCACTCTGCTATTGTCATTATGTGCCTCTGCTTTCTGAGTGAAATGTAGTGATTTATATTCGGGCCATACTTTTAATATAATTTTCTCTTCCTCACTGTGACACCAATTTCATCTATTTTGATGCCTCACATAACATTCTTTCTAAAACTCCATTTTCATATAATTACAAACACATGCAAAGAGAGAGAGAGATAAAACAATGATACAATGGCTGTTTCTGAATGCAAAGAGACATATTATATAGTTAAAAAGGTGAATGAAAAGACTGAAATTCCTTC